GGGGACCATGGTGGGACCCCTGCCAGCCCTCCCGACCCCTGGCTGCTCCCCCAGCCTCCCCATGGCTGCCTCTGCCCACCCCAGCTCTGTACTTTAAAAAAAAGCCCCAGTGCTCAGTGGGTGCTGCTGGGTGGGGGGCGATCCTCACTGCCCCATGCTGTATGGGGGGCTCTGCATGAGCCCCCTTGACCTCCCCCCGCCACTGCCCCAGCCCCTCCACAGCTGCCCTGCCTGCCAGGGCTCCGGCCCTATAAGAAAAAAACAAATGAAGAAAAGCCCTGGGAATCACTGCTTCTGGTGCAGCCTGGGGGCTTTGGGGGCTTGCCCCCCGCCGGCAGGAGCAATGAGTCCCTGGGTTTCTTCAGGGTTTTTTTTTTCTTAAAGGGCTGCAGCTGGCCTGTGTGGGGCACCCATGAGGGGGCTGGGGGAGGATGGGGGGGAGGTTTGGGGGCTCGTGCAGAGCCTCCCACGCAGCATGGGGCAGCGGGGATCGCCCCCCGCCTGGCAGCAGCTGCTGAGCCAAGGTTTTTTTTCACCCAAGTGCCAGGAGCTGGGGCAGGCAGGGCAGCCATTGCAGGGTTGGGCGAGGGACGGGGGATGGGCCTGGCCTGGTTGATTCGGAGATTCAGCTGCCAAATCTCCTAATCAGATTTGGCCAAATCGAATCAGGACAGTGATTTGAATCACCAAATCGAATCACTGTCCCCAAAATCAGCCGAATCCGAAGCAAATACTAGCCGCTCTGCACAGGCCTATTGCCCACCTGTGCTGCAGTCACACCTCCAATTGCAGTGGGGTCACGCCCTGTTGCAGCTGGTGACACTATAAAGCAGATGACTCTTTCTTCAAGCAGGTCTGTCAACCCAAACTTTGTCCTTGGATTCTTTCCTTACCTTCATCTGGAACATAATATTTTTCCAGTTGCTTTCATTAAATTTATAGGCATCCAGCAAGAGCACAAGGATGTAGTTGGCATTACCACAGTAATCCCGCAGCCAGTTTTCTTTCTCTTTGGGGTAACTCGATAACAGCTGGGATTAGAAAAAAAAACAACAGGTGAGAAAAAGGGGAAGTTATTTCCAGCAATGCAAGAATTTATCTCCAAGCTTTCAACAAAAAAACAGCCTGTGTGTGCTCAGGGAACTCCCTGCTAATCTGTGTGGTGAAAGGGATAACTTTGCTGTTTCCAAGCTACAGATGTACCTGCTTGCTTATGGACTAGGCAGGTATTTTTATGCACCCCTCAGGTCAGTTAGGGGCAGCTTCCCCCCCCTCCAATATCAGTTGTTTACAACATGAGCAGGGGGAGGGACGTGACCAAAAATGATGGTGCCCTGTGTCCCCTTAGTGGCAGCACAGAGCAGAGGTCACGCATCACCTGGCACTGTCTTTGGGTCTACTACTTACAGCATCAGTTCAAGTAGTCCCAGCCTGCCTGGCACTGTGAGGACCCCCTGCACCACCATCCTGGAACCCTTTCCTTTACAAGGTCTCCACAAAAGGCCCCCTGGCAGGAGGAGCCACCCCTACGTGTCCAGCTGTGTCACGTATCCCATCCCAGGGCACATACATATGTCCAGTTTCTTGCACAGAACTCCTGGATGGTATTGTTGACAGTGGCCAGGGACTGCCCGCTGGTCAGGTTGAGGAAGCTGAAGGTGTAGTAAAAGGCAGAGAATGCCTGAAAAGCAAGACATTTAAAAGGTCACAGGGAGCCTGAGCACTCTGCACTGGGCAGTTATATAGATACAGACAGCAGAACCAGGTAGGGCAAGTGGCAGCCTCCATGCCAGTTGGCATAAGCCTCAGTCAGTTAAGACTGGCATCACCGCAAGCGCCAGTGCTGGGTTGACATTGCAGGTTGGCAGGGCACAAGCGGGGTTGAGTGGACAAAGTACTGGCCTTGGAGCTGGGTTCTAAGCTTGGCTCTCACTGATCCCATATGTGATCTCATGCACTTCGTGTCCCCTCTCCATTCCCCTATTCCAAGGGGGAGCATGCGGCATGGAGCACAAGTGCCTTGCCATATATACTCTCTGTAAATGCCAAGTAGGATCCTTCTTGTGGAGAAGGGGAGACGCTTTCAAAGAACAAAGGTTAGGTCTGGTGAAAATCTTCCATTCATATTGCTTTTAATAGAAAATGTATTTTCCAGTTAAATAATTTTTTTCACTAAAAGGTGTATGGTTTTCGGGGAAAACATCGAAAAGCCTCTGTCCAAAAGCCAAACACCAGAAATGTTGATTCAGACACTTGCAGTGGACCTCATGGGACCTTCCATTTGCAGACCTTCTGCCCCATTCTTATCTATGGGGAGGGCAGCCTAACTCATGGGATTCCTAGGTGCAGAGCCATCACCAAGCAAAAAGAGGCACCACTATGCATCATGGGACATGCAGCCTGGTGAGACAGCTCATTCAGGAGACTGGGACATGATGCATCCAAACAGCAGGTGACAGGAGCCACTGTGAAAGCTCAGGAGGACACATAATATTGAACTGAGACAAAATGAAACACAGTGCACTCCACTTACGTGTACAGCAGATCAGTGCATAGACTAACTACTTAACTGCATAATACAATGCCAGCCCCAGTTCTTCACCTGTTGCTTGTATTATAACAAACATTGGTTAAGTGAGTCACATCTTTCAGCCTCTTTGTCTGTCCCATCAAGTTTAACCAAAGAACAATAAGTGCCAGAAACACTGAAGGGAAGCAGCTGTCAAAGGGCTGGGGTTAGAAGCAAATGTAGGGAGACAGCAACCCTGACATGTCCCATCATTTTCAAGGCTCCTAATAACAACCCTGACATTTACTCTTGGCATCCTTAAGGATGAGAGGCTCTAGGCATTTGAAGGCTGTTCATAACACAGCACTAGCAGTGCTGTGTGCTTAATGGGCATTGCTTACATTGTCTGGGAAGGCACATATCCCAAGTAAGCATCAGTTTTTCTCAGCCTTGCAGCTATGCACTTAAGTGGAGTGGATTGTGATTTAACTGGGTTGCACCAATGAGGACAAAACAGTTTATTTTCAGCAGCAATTCTAATTGGGGGGATGTGGATGTTGACAAATAATTGAACATTTCCATGGTGAAATGTCTGTCCCCATTTTCTGACGCACTGACACCAGCCGTCTGAGTTCTGCTTTGCTGCAAATGTTCAGTTCTCTGTTTTGACAAAGAGGAAGCTGCTCTCTTTTTGTTCTGAGGCACCAGCCAGCCTCAAATTCCTACACTTCACTCTGGTATCACAAGCACACTGCTGTTTGGAAATGAAAGGACTAATCTGGGTCCACCATGCCTGCACTCTGGTCTTAGCTCATGCCTCTCCCCTCTGCAAGACAAAGGGTGGGAGGATGGAAGGAGCCATACCTGGTCCTTGTAAGAGGCACAGTGGGTCACCCTGAGCAGAACATGGTTTAGAGCCTGGCTAGGAGAGGGGAAAGGATTCAACTTACAAAGAACTGCCCATTGACTGGAGGCTGGTAGACACCATTGAAGCTGCAGGTTTGACCCTGGCCACATGCAGAGAAGTTGAAGATCTCCTTGACAAGCTGGTGGCACTCTGTGGCACTGCCTGTGCCAAACAGTGTCACGTTCCATGGGACTTTGGGTGGAAATGACTCATGGGCAGCTGTACAAGGACTGACATGGAAGGAAGCTGTTGAAATGGTTGTCTCATAGCCTTTCGGGTAGCAGGGGTGGCTGGCATTCTTGGTACTTGTATCCTAGGAAAGGTAAAATCATGTGATTCACAGGGTGAAACCTCATTCCCACCCCCCTGTCCTCATTAATTCCTACAGGACGTCACAGCCAATAGAAGCTGGACAAACTGGGAACCAGTAAGGTTGGCAGGCTGCTGGTCTAGCTGCTCCCCTTACTGGGCAAGTTTGGCCTTTTCTTATCACGGAACTGTCCTGTCATCAGTACTTCACTTTAGCTTAATCAGGCTTAGATGTGCCTGCACATGCACAGCCCTTCTCTCCCCCTAATGCACTATCCTAATGTGAATCACTGCCCTGCATGCACTCTACGATATGCAGGAGAAGAGCCAGCTGCTACTTAGGGCTAGAGGGACCTGCCAGCCAACCAGGACCAAGCAGGCCACTGCTGCCAGCAGCTTCTCCTCACTCACATATGGGGAGGAGGTTTTGCATGTAAGTCCTCTGGGCATAGGCCTCACTAAGTCCTTAGAAAGCAGGCAGCTGAATGGTAGGGATTGCTCAAATCCCTGTAGCCTCAATGCCCTGGGTTGAATCTTCCCCACCCTCTGCCTTAGCTCAAGATCTCCCAAGTATATGAAGCCCTGGTTAAGGAGACTGTCTTCTCCTTGTACTGCTTAGCACTAGTTCAATCCCTCCTCTTCTACCTCCTGGTTCCTGTCTTGAGCATGACTCTGCCAATATTCTTCTCTTCCCCTGATTCAAGGCCCTGCTCCTCTCCTCTTCCTGATACTCATCACAGGGTCTGGTTTCTACAAGATCCCGTTCCTCATACCCAGTGGAGCCTGCTGCACCCATTCAGAAACTTCTGATGCCTCTCCTTAAAACCTCCTTGTTCTCTCACTTCCACGTAGCAAAAATTCAACCCTACGATTAGAACCAGAGTTGAATCCACCACAACAATATCCTCCTCACCTTGATTAGTTTCTGCACCACCTGCTTCAGAGCCTCGTTCTGCCCATAGCAGAGGTAGCTGTGTGTGTAGATGGTGTAGCCAAACCCGTAGAGGCTGAACTTGGAGGCTTTTGTTGCATCAGTAATTGAGCCACTGGGGATAAAACTGATTTGGGTTGATGCTCCTCCAAGGTCCAGAGCACCCAGGATCTTGGCTGAGTGTGGGTGGATCCAGTCACGTTGTTTGGGTGAGTACTGCCAGGACAACATGTGAAACCCACGGTGAGACAACTTCAGTCTTCAGCTACTCTTGTGGGGGAAGGAAACAGCAGCCCCTTTCTGAGGGACCAGTCCAGAACCATGTAATGAACTGCTACAGGAACTAAAAACCCCAACAAACCCCGGCCTTTCAGAAGTAATGCACACCCCTTTGACTTATTTTCTCTGGCAGAGGCACACCAAACATAGGGCATCCATAATTTATGCAAACACAACCAAATACCTCACTGAAAGAAAACAAACTTGCTCACACAAGGGCAAGGATGAGAGAAAGAACAAACTACACATCATAGATGTTAGTCAAGTTACTTAATGCATGACTGCAAGCTGTTCAGATTCTTCAGTGATGAGGCTGTAAAAGAACCTGGGTACAGCCAAGTGAATTAAATCAAATGGAGCAGAGCAGGAAGGGTTAACTTCCTGGCAAAAGCTAAAATAAAGGCTCTGAATGGCTCTGAAATAAGTCTCTGAGAAGGTTTTGAAACAGAATCTGATCTGGTGTATGTAGTTTTGCCCATAAGAGTGCCTTAATTTCCTCTTATTTAA